AAACCCTCCCACCCCCCACCACCCCAAAATCTCCCAGAAAAGGGGCAGAGACTGGAGAAAAGGCTTTAATGCGCAGTGGGTGGCGGGGAGGAGCAGCAGGGACCGAGGAGGAGCGTGACACCCCAGGCCAGGCATGGGGGGCCACCACGGGGTGGGGAGGGGGGCTTAGAAGCATTTTCGGTGGACGATGGAAGGTCCGGCCTCGTCGTACTCGGGTTTGCTGATCCACATCTGCTGGAAGGTGGAGAGGGACGCCAGGATGGAGCCACCGATCCACACCGAGTACTTCCGCTCTGGCGGGGCGATGATCTGCCGAGACACGAGCCGTTAGGATGCACCCCCTGGTTCCCCACCAACACCACCCCAAAACCTCCACTAGGAGAGGGTCTGGGGTGTTGGTGACCATGGTTTTGCCCCACCACCACCACCACCACCTACTTTGATCTTCATGGTGCTGGGAGCCAGCGCCGTGATTTCCTTCTGCCAACATGACATCGGGGGCACCAACTTGAGGTCAGGACTTCCCCATCCCTCACCCCACGACCCTCCAGAAAAGGGGCAGAGACTGGAGAAAAGGCTTTAATGCGCAGTGGGTGGCGGGGAGGAGCAGCAGGGACCGAGGAGGAGCGTGACACCCCAGGCCAGGCATGGGGGGCCACCACGGGGTGGGGAGGGGGGCTTAGAAGCATTTTCGGTGGACGATGGAAGGTCCGGCCTCGTCGTACTCGGGTTTGCTGATCCACATCTGCTGGAAGGTGGAGAGGGACGCCAGGATGGAGCCACCGATCCACACCGAGTACTTCCGCTCTGGCGGGGCGATGATCTGCCGAGACACGAGCCGTTAGGATGCACCCCCTGGTTCCCCACCAACACCACCCCAAAACCTCCACTAGGAGAGGGTCTGGGGTGTTGGTGACCATGGTTTTGCCCCACCACCACCACCACCACCTACTTTGATCTTCATGGTGCTGGGAGCCAGCGCCGTGATTTCCTTCTGCATGCGGTCGGCGATGCCGGGGTACATGGTGGTGCCCCCGGACAACACGTTGTTGGCGTAGAGGTCCTTGCGGATGTCGATGTCGCACTTCATGATGGAGTTGTAGGTCGTCTCATGGATCCCGGCGGACTCCATGCCTGGGGTGGAAGGGAGGTGTCAGCACCCTGACCCCCACCCATGCCTCCTCAGGGCTCCACAAAAGAGCCACGGGGTCACCTATGGCTTTGTCCCTCCCCCATTTGGGGTGCAAAGCGCTTGAGGGGATGCAAAACACCTCTGTGGGGCACCCATGGGACCTGGTTGGCTGGTGGTGGGGATGGGGGGCAACCACCTAGGGGCCAGCCAGGACAGCTGGGGGTGGGCTCACCGATGAAGGAAGGTTGGAAGAGGGTCTCAGGGCAGCGGAAACGCTCGTTCCCGATGGTGATGACCTGCCCGTCAGGGAGCTCGTAGCTCTTCTCCAGCGAGGAGGAGGAGGCGGCGGTGGCCATCTCGTTCTCGAAGTCCAGGGCCACGTAGCAGAGCTTCTCCTTGATGTCGCGCACAATTTCCCGCTCGGCTACGGGAGACCATGGCAAACAGGCTCAACCCGGTGCCGCGGCAGCACCGTGGGGTGCCCCCCATCACCCCACACCTCCCTCCCCGGCCCCGTACCGGTGGTGACGAAGGAGTAGCCCCTCTCGGTGAGGATCTTCATGAGGTAGTCGGTGAGGTCGCGGCCGGCCAAGTCGAGACGCATGATGGCGTGGGGCAGAGCGTAGCCCTCGTAGATGGGCACGTTGTGGGTGACGCCGTCCCCGGAGTCGAGGACGATGCCTGGGAAGGGGGAAGGAAGGTGAGGGAGGGGGTTTGAAACCAGCTTGGTCCCTTCCCCACCATGGATGGACCCCGGGTGGTAGATGCTGCGTGTCCTACTCACCAGTTGTGCGGCCAGAAGCGTAGAGGGAGAGGACGGCTTGGATGGCGACGTACATGGCGGGGACGTTAAAGGTTTCAAACATGATCTGGGAGGGAGAGTGAGAGGGGCAGAGGGTCAGGGGGGAGCGTGGGGGTACATCCCACCCCATCCCATGGGGGCCTTCCTGGAGGGATGGGGTCAGAGCTTTGCAGGGCATAACGTGGGGATCGTTGCATGGCGTGGAAAAGTAGGTGGATCATTGCATCCCATGGACATGTGGGTCGAGGCATCACGCAGAACCACCCGTGGGGCACCATGTGGGGCAGTAAATCGCATGGAACCATGAGTCGTTTCATGGAGAAACCATGGGTCAGCGCATGGCGTGGCAAACCCCATGGGTCCATCCACGAATGCCCTTCCTAAAGCCCCCCAGCTTCACCCCACCACCCACTCCTCCGCCCCCCACCGGCCCCTCTTGGCTCACTGAACCCCCAAATTCCCCACCCTCCTGTGGTTTTGGAGGGTCCGTCCCATCTCTGGGGACCCCGCGGTGCCGTACCTGGGTCATCTTCTCCCGGTTGGCTTTGGGGTTGAGGGGTGCCTCGGTGAGCAGGGTGGGGTGCTCCTCGGGGGCCACGCGCAGCTCGTTGTAGAAGGAGTGGTGCCAGATCTACGGCGGGCAAAGAAGGAAAAGGGAAGGTTTGACCCCAAAGTGAAGCCGGGACCCGCACCCGCTCCCCATCCCGGGTCGGGGGGGGTGTGTCTCACCTTCTCCATGTCATCCCAGTTGGTGATGATGCCGTGCTCGATGGGGTACTTGAGCGTGAGGATACCCCTCTTGCTCTGCGCCTCGTCGCCCACGTAGCTGTCTTTCTGCCCCATGCCTACCATGACACCCTAACGCCGGCGAGAGGGATGGCCTTGTTAGCCTCATTGCACTGATTAAAGCTGGGGGGGTGGGATGGGGGATGACTTGGGGCTGCTGCTCCCCAACCCGAGGTACCCACCTGGTGCCGGGGCCGCCCCACGATGGAGGGGAAGACGGCGCGGGGGGCATCGTCGCCGGCGAAACCGGCTTTGCAGAGGCCGGAGCCGTTGTCGCAGACCAGGGCGGTGGTCTCCTCCTCGCACATGGTGGGGCCGGGAGCGGTTGGCGTTCAGGGGGACCTGGGGGAAAAAGCTGGGGGGGAGGAGGGGGGAGAGAACGTTAAAGGAGGGCTGGGGAGAAGGTTACGCCGCGCCACCACGTCCAGCTTTGGGTGTCAGAGTCTCCTTGGGGATGCGTGGCCCCACAAAGTCCTCCATGGGCCACCACAAGGGGTGGCCATCAGGTCCAGCCCCGGTGGGGCGATGCTGGGAGCGGGGTGATGCCCAACCCCATGGGTGCTGCTCGGTGGCCGATGTTGGGTCTCCATCCTTCACCAGCCGGTGCCCCAAATAAGTGCCAAAGCCTCCTGCCCGTGCTTGGCCGGGGAGATCCGGCGTCGCCGTCCCTGGCTGGTGCCCCCCGAGCGGGCAGGGGGAAGGAAGTGATACCCTCACCTCCTTTCCCAAAAATGGGAAAAAAAAATAAAATATATAGCCCTTCCCGGAGGGTGCCCCCCTCTGCCGGTGGAAGCGCTTCTAAAATCCAGAGGAAAGCAGACGAAAACCTCACGGGAGCCCAAAAAATAATAATAAAAAAAACCAACAACCAAAAAAACCCAAATCGCAGGGATTTCTGGAAGAGCACGACCCTCTTTGGCCGCAGCCCAGCTCATCGCCTCCACGGAAGCCCCCCAGGCTGTGGGGTCCTGCTGGGGTTTGGCAACCCCCGGCCCCCCTGCCGTGTGAACGGAGCCGGGGCCACCCCATAAATGTTTGGGGGCACCCCCCAAACGCCTCCCTGGGGGGTTTTTTCCTTTCCCCACTTTCCTGCAAGGAAAAAGGGGAGCCGGGGCCGGGCTGTACTCACCGCGGACGCGAAAGCTTTCCTCTGGGACCCAGTCCCGACGCGCCTTTGGTATAAATACCAGCGAGCCCGAGGAACCTCAGAGGCGGATCCTCTCTAAACAAAGACCCTAAATAGGCTAAGTGATGGTGTGTTAGCCATATGGCCATATAAGGTGTTTTATTTCATTAAATTGACCTTGGGCTGATGGTAGGACCCAGCGCGGTTAATTATTGTAAGAAAAAAAATGTATGTGGGGATGCTTGGGAGGCAACATCCCATTTGGGAGTCTGTTCCTTTTATGCTCCGCTCCCGATAAACAAGTGAGACACAAGTCCTTATAAGTGACGGTTTCGGCAAAAAGGAGGTGGAAGCGGCTCCGGTTCCTGGGGAGAATGTGGAGAAACCCCCCCTGGGGGGAGGTGGGTGTCGGGGCTCTGCCCCCGGGGGGACACCCCGGAGCCGGGATGGGAATTTGGCATCTCCCAGATGCTGGAAGCTCACTGGGTTGGTGCATCGCTTCCTCCCGGGTCCTCCATGTCTCCCCAGCATCCGGCACCTTCGGGATGTCTCTCCCTGAGGGTTTTCTTTTCTCTCCACCCCTATTTTTGGGCCCCTCGTCCTCCAAATCCTCAGCTCAAGCAGGGCCAGAGTCGGCCCTTGGATCCAAAGCCCAGCCCTGCCCCGTGGGTGCTCTTACCCCCTACCTGGGGGGATTTTGAGGCAGGATGAGCCCAGACCCCCCAAAGGGTGATGGGGGGTGCTGTGCCCTGGTCCCCCCCCAGCCCAAATGCAGCCTGGGGGGGTGCTGAGCCACCCCTGGGCCTGTGGCTGCAGCCTTGGCAGGCAGTGACAGAGCCCCAGCAGCCCGTGGCCCTGGCAGAGGCCAACCAGCAGCTGCCAAAATCCCAGCTGCCTTTTTAAGGGCAATGGTCCCGCGTTGGGGACTCTCCCCGAGCCCCCGGGGCAGGGGGGAGGCAGGAAGAGACGCCCCAAAGCCACCACCCAGAGGTGCAGGGACTCGGGGTGCAGATGGGGAAACTGAGGCACGGGCTGGCTCCTGCTGTGTGAGGTCCCGAGTTGTGCTGGGGCAGGGACGTTGAGGTGCCACTGCAGCAAGAAGGACCAGGAGCTGCAGGGTCCCACCACCACCAGAAGGGACCCAAGACTCCCGGTGTCCCCCTCGTCCCCACAGGGAGGGAGGGGACTCCAGGTGTCACCCCCACGGGGCAGGATGGGGACATGGTGTCCCCCTTGTCCCCAGAGGGAGGGAGGGGACTCCAGGTGTTACCGCCATGGGGCAGGGTGGGGACACGGTGTCACCCCGCAGGGGAGGATGGGGACACAGTGTCACCCCCATTGGGCAGGATGGGGACACGGTGTCACCCCCCAGGGGAGGATGGGGACACGGTGTCACCCCACGGGGCAGGATGGGGACATGGTGTATGTCACCCCCCAAGGCAGGATGGGGACACGGTGTCACCCTGCGGGGCAGGATGGGGACATGGTGTCACCCCATGGGGCAGGATGGGGACACGGGGGCAGGATGGGGACACGGTGTCACCCCCACGGGGCAGGATGGGGACATGGTGTCACCCCATGGGGCAGGATGGGGACATGGGGGCAGGATGGGGACACGGTGTCACCCCCATGGGGAAGGATGGGGACACGGTGTCACCCTGTGGGGCAGGATGGGGACATGGTGTCAGGATGGGGACACGGTGTCACCCTGTGGGGCAGGAGGGGGACACAGTGTCACCCCCATGGGGCAGGATGGGGACACGGTGTCAGGATGGAGACATGGTGTCACCCCATGGGGCAGGATGGGGACACGGTGTCAGGATGGAGACACGGTGTCACCCCATGGGGCAGGATGGGGACACGGTGTCAGGATGGGGACACGGTGTCACCCCACGGGGCACGATGGGGACACGGTGTCACCCCAGCACGTGGGCAGGATGGGGACGCAGTGTCACCCCCACGGGGCAGGATGGGGACACGGTGTCACCCCCATGGGGCAGGATGGGGACATGGTGTCAGGATGGGGACACGGTGTCACCCTGTGGGGCAGGAGGGGGACACAGTGTCACCCCCATGGGGCAGGATGGGGACATGGTGTCAGGATGGGGACACAGTGTCACCCCGTGGGGCAGGATGGGGACACGGTGTCACCCCCACGGGGCAGGATGGGGACATGGTGTCACCCCATGGGGCAGGATGGGGACATGGGGGCAGGATGGGGACACGGTGTCACCCCCATGGGGAAGGATGGGGACACGGTGTCACCCTGTGGGGCAGGATGGGGACATGGTGTCAGGATGGGGACACGGTGTCACCCTGTGGGGCAGGAGGGGGACACAGTGTCACCCCCATGGGGCAGGATGGGGACACGGTGTCAGGATGGAGACATGGTGTCACCCCATGGGGCAGGATGGGGACACGGTGTCACCCCAGCACGGCCAGCCCACTCCCACCTCCAACGAGGTCCCCATCCAAGGTCCCTGCCCCCGTGACCCCCCCTCCTTCCAGGGGGGTGTCCAGGCAGGAGGTGTCCCCTTGGCTGGAGGTGTCCCCTGGCCGTGCACTTGGTGTCCCCACCGCCCGCCCCGGGGACCTGCTGCCTCCTCGAGTCCCAGCTCCGTTCCCTTGGTCCGAGGCCAAACATGAGGTCACCGAGGCAAAAGGTTGCCATATATGACATGCCGAAAAAAAAATAAAAAAATAAAAAATGAAAAAAAAAAAAAAATTAACCCCAAACCCAGCAGAGGGGGGGAGGAAAGGGGGTTGGATGGAGGGAGAGCCCCCCATGGAGAGAGGACAGCCGTGCTGGGGTCTCCATGGTGTTGGTGACGGGACCCTGGCCCCTTCCCCACCCCAGGGTGGAGGGGACTGTGCCCAAAGCCCTGGAGACACCCCCAAACCCTGGGCTGGTGCAAACTGGGGGGGGGGTGCCACCCCCAGCCCCAAACCCCATGGCTTCCCCATCCCTGGTGTTTGCTGGGGACGGGGTGGAGGGATCACCCCCCAGCTCCCCATCCCTGCTGGATTCCCAAAATGCCCCATCCCAGGGCACGGTGGCCAGCGGGGCCGGCAAAGCCTTGATGGGACCAGTTTGAAGCTGGGACGGTGGCGGCAAAGCCCCGAGCTGGAGCAGAAGCAGCCTAAAAAGGAAAGGTTGGGCCACGGCAGCCAATCCAGCCGCCGGCTCTGGGGAGGGTGGCCGTGGCTCCGGGATGCTGGCAGGAACGCCAGGCATCCCCCGGCACCGGCGAGGGCTGCGGGACGGGGAGGGGGGCAACCCCCACTTTGCTGTGGGATTTCAAAACCCCGGGACTCAGCACCTCCCTATAAGGGGAACGTTCGCGCTTTAAACCTCGTTGGCCGCCGCCGAGGACGGACCGAGCGGCCACCAGAGCTCGGGCAGGGATTTGGGTCCATTCCCACCCCTGAGGGCAGAGATAAGGATGGCTTCCCCGCCTGCAGGAAACCCCCCAAACACCCAACCCCCAAAAATAGACCTCTCCCGCAAAGTGTGTTTTTTGTTAGGGCTTCGCTCCCCCGGCATCCAGCCCCGATTTGAGTCATTTTAAGAGAGACCAGTCACATCTGGTGCAGGGGGACCAGGCAGGGTGGGGTAACGGGACACAGGGCCAGGACATCAAGCGTTCACCCCGCCGCACAAATTGATGACTCAGGGATTTTTAAGTGAAAAAAATGCGATTAAAAAGCCGGCGGCTGGGAGAGCGGGGCCGGGCAGCAGCTGGGTGCTGACGTGAGTCGCAGCCCTCGCGTACGGCCGCGCCGGGAGGGAGGTGAGGAATTCCCCAGGAGGGTTTGTCGGTCACTGGGACAATTTCGGAACGGCGCAGGGGGTTGCTCTCTGCTCCATACCAGGGCAGCTCAAAGCTGAGACCTTCAGGGACGGGGAGATAAATTGCCAGAAGGCCAATCCCATCCTGGGCTGCATAATACTGGGGCAGCTCAAAGCTGAGACCTTCGGGGACGGGGAGATAAATTCCCAGAAGGCCAATCCCATCCTGGGCTGCATCAAAAGCTGCGTTGCCAGCAGGGCCAGAGAGGGGATTCTGCCACTTTACTCTGCTCTGGTGAGACCTCACCTGGAGTATTGTGTGCAGGTCTGGAGCCCTCAAAATAAGAAGGACATGGACCTGATGGAGAGGGTCCAGAGGAGGGTCACGAGGATGATGAGGGGGATGGAGCACCTCTGCTACGAGGACAGGCTGAGGGAGCTGGGGTTGTTCAGCCTGGAGAAGAGGAGGCTCCGGGGAGACCTAATAGCAGCCTTCCAGTACCTGAGGGGAGCCTACAGGAAGGCTGGGGAGAGCCTGTTTAGAAAGGCCTGCAGTGACAGGACAAGGGGCAATGGCTTCAAGCTGGAGGGGAACAGATTTAGACTGGAGATGAGGTTCTTCACTGGGAGGGTGGTGGAGCACTGGAACAGGCTGCCCAGGGAGGTGGTTGAGGCCCCATCCCTGGACATATTCAAGGGGAGGCTCGACGAGGCCCTGGGCAACCTGGTCTAGTTGGGGGTGTCCCTGCTGACTGCGGGGGGTGGGACTAGATGGCCTTTGGAGGTCCCTTCCAGCCTGGAAAATTCTATGATTCTGTGATTCCTTGTGATACCCACTGTCCGTTTGGAGGAATCCCTGCTTTGGGAGACGGGCTGTCACCCCTCGTGTCCCCACAGCGTGCTCCCTTCTGCCTCGCGCTGCAAAACCCACCCCAGAGCACGGTCTGGATAAATTAGGTCTGAAAGTTCATTCCCACCAATGCCCAGAAGTCACCTTCCTTCCCTCCTCCTGTTTTCCAAAACTGACTGCAAAAACAATGGCAGCAGCTCTTTGTCACCCAGGAGTCAGGGAGGCGGCTGGTGCAAATAAAACACAAGCCCTAAATAAACAGATTCCCTCCAAATAAAACACAAGCCCTAAATAAAGGTATTCCCTCCAAATAAAACACAAGCCCGAAATAACTGGATTCCCTCCCCGCTCTCAGCCCCGCCGGACCCCTCCAACCCCCCCCGAGAGAGCTGGAAGAACACAAGTGGCAAAAGAAACCCAGCCAAGATCATTCAATCCATCCGTGTTCGACTGTACACCAAAGGAGTTTGCATGGGGGAGCACACGGACACGACACACACAACACGTGTGTTCGCACGCCAGGGGGGAAGGCGACTCCAGGGCCACATGCTGAGCGTCACAGCATCCCCCCCGAGGATGTGGAGATGCCAGGACCACGCTCAGCCCTTCGAGGCCAGATGTCCTCCACCTTTCAACGCTGCTTCTTCCCCTCCAGCCTCGGCAGGAGCGAGGGTGGAAGTGCAGGGAAGGAAAATTGCTGCTCAGCATCCGAGGAGGAGGAAGAGGAGGAGCAGCAGCGATTGGGAAGAGGTCCCTGGCTGGTACCGCGTAACGGTGACGTCACGGAGCGCGTGGTTTTGGCAAGGACAGACTTCACACTGCTCGGAGAAGCGCGGAGGTGGTTGGGGGTGGTCATCCTCAAGGACTGAAGTGGCACAAGCTGCTGGAGCCCCTTCCCAGAGAGGAGATGGCCTTGCAGAGCCTTCACACCGCAGCGCTGAAGCCAAGCGACCCAGAGCCTCCTCCACCAGCAACAAGTCAAACCCCAGCCCTCGCTGGGCAGCCCGAGGGCTTTTCCGAACCAGGAAAAGAAATAAAATAACCAGACATCCCTCCCCACCGCTGGAATGGAGCAGCTTGTGCAGGGCAGTGCCCCATCCAGGCACCTTCTCCCCCACAACACTGAAACAAGGAGGTTGGGCCCCTTCCTACCTCAGCGGGCAAAGACCTGAGTACCAGGGAGCAGGACTCGCTCCGGCTCAGCGGTGCTGAGCTCGTGAGAGGGGTTAGGAAGGTTTAATTTGAAATTATAGCAAAGATTTATCCACTCCAGCCGCTGCGCCAAGACCACAGCAACCCAGGGAGGCAAAACAAAGCACAGACTAATTTGGGCCAAGTCCCACTTTGGAAAGCACTTGAAGAGGTTTCCACACCTCGTGGTTGCAGCAAATCACAGGGGAACACCCCCCCCCAAGAAGCCGTTCAAGCCATAGATTAGAGTATTAAAACAATTGCTTTAGTGTTAGCTTCTGGTTTTCGAATTTCCAGTTAGCTTTTCCCCACACCCTGAACCTCAGCACCACTTCACCAGCCCAACGCCGGGCACCGAGGCTTCACGAGCTCCCACTGAGGTCAGGGCACCGATTTCACCGCGATGGTTGGGGGAGGAAGGGGAAGGATCAATCACTACACGGTAGAAATCATCTGCTACAGGAGGAAAAAAACACATTTCCTTAGGCCTAGAAGGAAGGTAGATGGTTTTCTGTAAACGGTTAAGGCAAGAGGCCTATCGGAGATCGATCAGGACCACGTCTCTCTCCACTACTGACACATGACTGCAGGTCTGGAAGAGAAGGGGAGAGAAAGGGCAGACAGGAGGTTATTGAGATGTTCCCCCAGCTCAGGTGAGCCTCCTCACACAACCTGCACCCAGCCTCCCACACAGAACAGCCCTCTCGGACCAAAATCTAGTGCTCTGTCCAGTGCCACACACCAGCCATGGCAGGACACAAGTATAAATCTCTCTCTCTCAATCAAAAACAGGCCTTTTCACTGAATTTTCACTGAATTTCACTGAATTTTTAGAGTTGGAAGGGACCATAGAGATCATCTAGTCCAACTCCCCTGCTAAAGCAGGATTGCCTAGAGCTTGTCAGAGCATGTTACTCAGGAGCATCCAGGTGGGGCTTGAAGATCTCCAAAGAAGGGGACTCCACACCCTCCCTGGGCAGCCTGTTCCAGGGCTCTGTCACCCTCACTGTGAAGAAGTTTCTCCTCATATTCAAGTGGAACCCTTTATGTTCTAACTTGTGCCCATTGCCCCTCGTCCTCTCACTGGGAACCACTGAAAAGAGTCTGGTTCCTTCCTCCTTCAACCCTCCCTTGAGACACTTGTAGGCATTGATAAGGTCTCCCCTCAGCCTTCTCTTCTCCAGCCTAAAGAGTCCCAGCTCTCTCAGTCTCTCCTCATAAGGGAGATGCTCAATCCTTGAATCATCTTTGTTGCCCTTCGCTGGACTCTCTCCAGCAGTTCCCTGTCTCTCTTGAACTGGGGAGCCCAGAACTGGACGCAGGATTCCAGCTGTGGCCTCACCAGTGCAGAGTAGAGGGGCAGAATGACTTCCCTTGAATGACTTCCCTTTTGCTGCTGCCTTGCCCTGTTTCTGCAGAGAAGTGCTCTGCATCCCACCTCCACCACGTGCTAACAACTCAGAAGGCTTTTGCATCTCAACTCTAGGAAGAGACAATCCCCTGCCAGGCTGACCCTCCCGTCCTGGGTCACAGCTATAAAATCAAGTGAAGAGTCCAACGTGCCAACCACAGCCCCCGCTGCCTCCTGGGGTGACTTACAGTGAAGAGAGGGGGGTCTTTGGCGTGGGGGTGGAATCCTTTCTGCCGGCAGGAAGAGATCTCCTCCAGGCCGTGCTCCGTCAGCTTGAAAAATCCTGTCCTAGAGCAAATAAACACAAAGTCTGTGTAGCTCAAGCCTCTGCAAATAGAAGCACCTCCTCCTGGTTCTGAAGAGCTCGAGGCCGCTCGACTCGAGAGAGAGCAGACACACGCTGTGGGACACTCCCCTCCCCAGGTCTGTGGCCACAGACCCTCATTTCATGGGTGGGCAACCACAGCCCAGATATGATCCCCCCCCAAACCAGCTCAGAAGAGCTGTCAAATCACACATGCTCTTCCAGCCTCTTTTGATAAAGCTTTCATTGCGTGACTTGACGTTTTATTCCACACCAGGAATCCCACAGAGGAAAGGTGGCAATGAACAGCACTTCAACACCTTCTGAAGGGGCCAGACCTTTTGGTTGGGCACCACAAGCCGAGGGAAAGGCCTTCCCTACATCCATACTTACTCCTGGTATTTCGGAGAGCACACGATAGCGATGGACTCTGGCAGCATCATCTGGTAGGAGCAGTGCGTGTGCAGGTCGACGCTGGAGAGAAAGGCCGTCTGCGTGGGGTGAGTCTGGGACACAAGGAAACATCAGAGAGAGGATGTTAGAGCAGGGTTGGAGGGCTAGTCCAAAGGGACAGCGTCTGCCAAGGAAAGGTTGTAACAGAGAAGCTCCTTGGACGGCACAGAGAACAAGCTTGCACACTGAAAACGGCTTTGGATTGCCCCAAAACATCTGCTCCTCTCTTCCATTTGGAATAAATACAGGAGAAGCTCTACATTTCTGGCCATATCGCATGGAAAGTCACACTTTCAGGCACGACACTGTCCCTGTTCTCATTCATGGCACCCTGCAGGCCACATCCCACGTTTCTGAAGTGCAGGCACCCCTGGGACACAGCATCACCAGGCTCCTAAGGTACTGCCAAGGCACTTGGAGATATCACATTCCACCCAGATGGCCAAGGGCTGTACGATCACAGACAACCACCACCCTACCCAAACTCCAGCTGACGGCTACATTTCACAGCCCAGCTCTTGCTGAAAGGTCTTTCCCCTTTTCCTCGTTAAGCTTTTGTCGCCAAGAGCAGCCAGAAAGGTCTAAGGGATCCTTGAGGGTCCCTGGCTGTGGCCGGGCCGTCACTGAAGAGTTAACACCAAAAGCAGACACCCCGCAGGGATCAGGCACAGGCAGCAGGCATTTATTTGTCAAAGCCTGCGAGGCAGCTGCTGCTTTCGAGAGATTACTCAGCAGCACCAAACGTTTTCCTTGGCTCCCATCCGACTGCCAAAGGCTCCGCGGGGACAGGCAGCGGGGCAGCGCCGCAGCCAGCGGAGGAATCTGGGACTGGCACATCCCGTGGCAGAGCAGCACACAGCTGGCTGCTAAAAGCAGCGCTACTACGGGGAGGCATCAAAGGAGAGAGCCTGCACTGACAGGGGGAGCTCGGGGAGCCCCCACGGTGCCTCTGGAGTCAGCTTTTAGCCGGGGGAAGCATCAGCTTCATGCCCAGTAGCCCACTCTCAAAGGGCCCGATGCTTTAGGAAGGGACCCAGACTTAAAACAGGCCTGGGTTTCTCCGGCAGCATGAGTAGTGGCTGAGACTGCACCAGAGGGAGAAATCCAACCCGAGGATCCAGAATCCAGAGGGAGAATCCAACCTGTCTGCTCCACAGCAGCTCCTCCAGTGAATTCAGCCTGGAGAAGAGGAGGCTGAGGGGAGACCTTATTGCTCTCTACAACTCCCTGAAAGAAGGGGGTAGCCAGGGGGGGGTCGGTCTCTTTTCTCAAGTCACAGGCGACGGGACAAGAGGAAATGGCCTCAAGTTGCACCAGGGGAGGTTCAGGCTGGATATTAGGAAAAATTTTTTCACTGAAAGGGTTATCAAGCCTTGGAATGGGCTGCCCAGGGAGGTGGTTGAGGCACCATCCCTGGAGGTGTTCAAAAGATGGGTTGATGTTGTGCTGGGAGGTCTGGTTTAGTGATGGTGATGCTTCTTGTTTGTTGTGTGGGTGTCTATTTTTGTCAGTGAGGTTGACGGTTGGACAAGATGATCTTTAAGGTCCCTTCCAACCTAGAAGATTCTGTGATTCTGCTCCCCCAGCCCTGCTCCGCACACACCTTTCCCTCTGGGATGAAGGCAAGACCAGTCAGGAAGCAAACCAGGAACGAGAGACTCACGTGGATCCAGCCTAACGTAACAAGGCTGAGCTGATCCTGGATCATGAAGAGCTCCTCCTCATTCTCCGTGTTGCAATAATCGGGGCCTCCGTGCTGCTTGGGAACGATGACGTGGGTGATGGTGAACTCGTTCCTCATCTGCAAGGCAGCACAGGGAGGCTGTTACCCACCGGACACCCCCCCAGGCAGGGAACGCTGCTGCTGCCGCCCGCTGGTGCAGAGGTAATTTCCTAAGCTTTGGGAACGCTGTACTTCTGCATCCATCACTCGGGGGCCCAGCCAGGGGAACAGCAGGTCTGGAAAAAAGCCCACGGATGCATCTGTGGATGTGTGCTCAATGGATGTACGTCCTGCTGGCGGCCGGTCCCAAGTGGTGTGCCTCAGGGCTCAGTGTTGGGACCATTTCTGTTCAACGTCTTTATTGATGATCTGGATAAGGACATAGGGTGTATCATCAGCAAGTTTGCAGATGACACCAAGTTAAGCAGGAGTGGTGACTCCCAGGAGGATAGGGAAGCCCTACAGAGGGACCTAGATAGATTGGATCACTGGGCCAATGCCAATAGAATGAGTTTCAACAAGGGCAAGTGCCAGGTCCTGCACTTGGGCCACACCAACCCCCTGCAGCACCACAGGCTGGGGGAAGTGTGGCTGGAGGTGCCTGGAGGAAAGAGCCCTGGGGGTTCTAGGTGACAAGCGGCTGAATATGAGCCGGCCTGTGCCCAGGGGGGCAAGAAAGCCAATGGCATCCTGGCTTGTATCAAAAATAGTGTGACCAGCAGAAGCAGGGAGGTGATTGTGCCCCTGTACTCAGCAGTGGTGAGGCCACACCTGGAGTGTTGTGTCCAGTTTTGGGCACCTCAATCCAAGAGAGATCTCGAGGTGCTGGAGCGAGTGCAGAGGAGGGCAACGAAGCTGGTGAAGGGCCTAGAAGACAAATCATATGAAGAGCGGCTGAAGGAGCTGGGGCTGTTTAGTGTGAGGAAGAGGAGGCTGAGGGGAGACCTCATCACTCTCTACAACTACTTGAAAGGACACTGTAGAGAGGTTGGTGCTGGTCTCTTCTCACAGGTAATTAGTGACAGAACGAGAGGGAACGGCTTCAAGCTCCAACAGGGGAGGTTTAGATTGAACATTAGGAAGGAATTTTTCACCCAAAGAGTGGTCGGGCATTGGAACAGGCTGCCCAGGGAGGGGGTGGAGTCCCCATCCCTGGCTGTGTTTAAGGGCCGTTTAGATGCAGTGCTGAGGGACATGGTGTAGGGGAGGACTTTGTAGAGTAGGGGAGATGGTTGGACTCGATGATCCCAAGGGTCTCTTCTAACCTAGACCATTCTATGATTCTATGATCTACCGTCCATTTACAGGTCACACAAATGGTAACTGCAAGTTACTGACAAAGGAGTCGCAGGATTTTCTGAGTCTGAGCACAACCCGCGGCTTTCTATTTAATTTTCTCTGCTGTTCAGAACACCCACAAGAGCTCAGAAAAGTCCTGGACACCCACCAGAGCAGATCTCTCAACTCACTGGGAGATGATGCCTCATAATTCAATAATCACCAAGTGTCTGGAAGCAGCTGGATTGCAGAAAGCTGCTACATCAAACAACTTCATCTCCAAACAAACTTCTGCAAGCAGAGCAGCCCCAAATGGCTCGGGGGAGACAGGCAGGAGCTACCATAGAATCACAGAATCCTCTAGGTTGGATGAAACCTGCAAGATCTTCTAGTCCAACCATCAACCTAACTCTGACAAAAAAAAAACATCACTAAACCATGTCCCCCAGCACCATGTCAGCCCAGCTTTTGAACACTTCCCTGGGCAGCGCATTCCAAGGCTTGATGACCCTTTCAGTGTCTAAATTTTTTCTAATATCCAACCTCAACCTCCCCTGGGGCAACTTGAGGCTGTTTCCTCTTGTCCCATGGCCTGTTCCTTGGGAGAAGAGACCGACCCTCCCTGGCTACACCCTCCTTTCAGGGAGTTGGAGAGAGCCAGAAGGTCTCCCCTCAGCCTCCTTTTCTCCAGGCTCAACACCCCTAGCTCCCTCAGAAGTTCTCCAGACCCTTCTCCTTGTGCTCCAGCCCCCTCACCAGCTTCCAGTTCCCACTACCAGTGGAAACCTGTTGCACGTAAACTCTCTGGGGGGAGAACTAACTGTCTCCAGGTGGTGTTTGTGCAACCTTGTCTTGGGGTGGGTCTTACTTCACAGCTGGGACACCTCGGTCCTGCTGGTACCTAAAGGACAAGTCACCAGAGCTGCCTGTCACTGGCAATGTGGGAGTGCTCGCTGGTACCAGCAGAGAGTCAGCAACAGGAGAGAGGAAGCCAAATACCCACAGGGACTCGGTGACCAGCACCTCCTTCAGTGTGAGAAAATCTGAATGTGAAAGGGAGGAGAAGGAGCAGTGGATCATCCTTAACACTCACACGAAACCCTAGTGCTCAGTGAAACTGCACTACAGCCTCCCGTGGAAAAAATAACAGGGTCCTTGAGCCTTATTGCTCTCTCCAACTCCCTGAAAGGAGGGTGTAGAGAGATGGGGGTCGGTCTCTTTTCTCAAGTCACAGGCGACAGGACAAGAGGAAATGGCCTCAAGTTACGCCAGGGGAGGTTCAGGCTGGATATTAGGAAAAATTTTTTCACTGAAAGGGTTCTCAGCCCTTGGAATGGGCTGCCCAGGGAGGGGGTTGAGGCCCCATCCCTGGAGGTGTTCAAAAGCCGGGTTGATGTAGTGCTGGGAGGTCTGGTTTAGTGATGATGCTCCTTGTTTGTTGTGTGGGTGTCTATTTTTGTCAGTTGGGTTGACAGTTGGACAAGATGATCTTTAAGGTCCCTTCCAACCTAGAAGATTCTGTGATTCTCAAAGCTATTGCACACCTTGAGAAAAGGTGCCTGCGCCACTTCCAAGGCCTTAATGAGGATTGTCACCTTACCAGCTTACCACAGAGGATCCCACACGTCTCCACACCCCGGACCGTGTTGGCATCAGCCAGCTGGAGGAACTTCTGGCAGAGCTCCCTAGGGACGATGACCTGGCGAAGGACGTCCATACTTGCATCTGTGGGGAGAAGGGGAGCACAATGAGCAAGGAGAGTCGGGGGCACTGGAGAAATGTTCCCTCAGGTCAACATCTGAAAGGACCAGACTGAGAAAATCCAACCTGGAAACATTATCTGCTCCAATGTCTACCCTTAGAACAGCAGTCACAGATAAATGAAGTCACTGTGACACTTCATATACTTCATAAAGGACACTCACTACCTCTTTCAAAACAGGGACACATAGAGGGAGAGAGAGACCTTTAGCAGTGTGTCCAAACCCAAGTGTTTTGTTAAAGAAAATGAAAACACAGACAATTACAAAATGTTACTTAAAGTAAGATGTGTCACTGGTCAAGAACCAGTCATTTGGAAATGTCCAAATCAGTATTTTGGAGCCATCTTTGGCAGAAGAGAAGAATTTGGTTAGCCAGGAACTAAACCCCTGACCCCCAACAAATATCTGGATCTAGGAAAGCCAAATAGAGTCTGGGTTAGCAGAGAGGTGGGGCTGGAGAAGCATGGGGGGCCGATTCCCAAGGGGAGACAGTTCTCCCCAGCCCTGCAAACCTTCACTGGGCAGTGGGGAGAACATCCAGTGACTCGGAAGGCCAGACCCCCAGAAGGGATGGAGCCATGGGCAGACCCTTCCAAGTGCCTTCCAGACAAATCAGCTCCTCAGCTGTGTTTGGCTCAGCCCCAGCAAGGGAGAAGGGTGCAGTGAGAGGTACTAACTGTTTTCTGTGCTTCCCAAAGTACTAGGTTTCAAAGATCTGTCCACAACAGGAGGTTTGGATGAGACAGTCCCCGCTGATGGACTCGCAGGTTGAACTGGAGAGACCGGAACCTTTGGGATTAAATCAGTCGGTGGTTTTTCCACACCAGGGATGAGGGGTCCATCCAGAGATTCAGGACTCAGCTCTGGTTTTCCAAATTCCTGCACTATCCTTAGACGCTCCTTCTCCAGCTCTTGTCGTCGAATCATCTCCTCGAAGGCATTAAACTGCTCTTGCTCTACCTGCTGCTGCTTCATCAGGGCTACTCGATTTCTCTCCTCTTCCAGCTGCTGCTGCAAAGCCAAGTTTCGTGCAAGTTCCTCTTCCTTTGCCTTCTGCAAGGAGAAATGTGCTAAGGGAGAGCAGGCAGGGGAGCACTACCCCGAGGCAGAACATGGAGCCTCTGCACGCAGACCCTCAGCAACCCCAGAATTTCACTGAATTTTAGAGTTGGAAGGGACCATAGAGATCATCTAGTCCAACTCCCCTGCCGAAGCAGGATTGCCCAGAGCTTGTCAGAGCATGTTACTCAGGAGCATCCAGGCGGGTCTTGAAAATCTCCAAGGAAGGGGACTCCACACCCTCCCTGGGCAGCCTGTTCCAGGGCTCTGTCACCCTCACCGTGAAGAAGTTTCTCTTCATATTCAAGTGGAACCTTTTATGTTCCAACTTGTGCCCGTTGCCCCTCGTCCTCTCACTGGGAACCACTGAAAAGAGTCTGGTTCCCTCCTCCCTCAGCCCTCCCTTGAGATACTTGTAGGCATTAATAAGGTCTCCCCTCAGCCCTCTCTTCTCCAGACCAAAGAGTCCCAGCTCTTTCAGTCTCTCCTCATAAGGGAGATGCTCCAATCCTTGAATCATCTCTGTTGCCCTGCGCTGGACTCTCTCCAGCAGTTCCCTGTCTCTCTGGAACTGGGGAGCCCAGAACTGGACGCAGGATTCCAGTTGTGGCCTCCCCAGTGCAGAGCAGAGGGGGAGAACGACCTCCCTCCACCTCCTGGCCACACTCTTTAGAATACTTCTAAAGGCTCTGCCAAAGGTGCCCAGCAAACAGCACTCCCTGCAAGGAAGCTTCAGTTTGCAAACCAGAGATCCGCGCTTCCATCAGGACAGTCAGACAGACAAGGGCAGTAAAACTGCTGCCTTACCCTCCCTCTTCCACAGAAACAGAATTCTGGGTTGACTTCACTCTATCCCATCTCTAAATTTGCACTTGTTCCCAGCAAAACTGCCCGCGGAGTTTGCTGCCTTGCCCACAGAACCCCAGGTCCTTGACCATGCTGTTTCCAGCTGCCTGCTGAGTTTCTGGATCATAAGACCTAGACCTTATGTTGGGAAAAAGGGAAAAAAACAACCAACAGTCCCAGCTCAGGCTGCCTCCAGGAGAAGATGCACAACGAGAAGGATGCCTGTGACAGATTCACCTACAGCAGCAGAGACATGACTGGGACAGCCCTGAGCTGCAGGTGACAAGGCTGGACCCTGCAAGCTGGGGGTACACAGACTTCACACTTCAGAGCACCCCGGGAGCCCTGGAGACCTGCCCTCTTCCAAACCCTTTGTGGCTGAGGGTCTCCTGGGGAGCACAGGCCTCCAGTCTCTTCTCACTCACCTTCTGCTCCTTGTACTTAGCATAGTCCTTGGCGTACCTCTTTAATAGCTCCTCCTTGAGCTCTTCAGCTCTGGGGAAGGCTACTTCTTTCAGTTTCTGAAGGGGAGAAACAGAGTCATAAGAGTGTGATAGTCCCAAAGCAAGAAAAACCAAGACCTGAATGGATGCAAGAATCAATGTAGCACCCAGAGATTATAAACCATCTGTTTGGGAGGCAAGAAGGGCTGAGCAGCACCACGTGTGTTCATGCTGGCAGGCTGCGAAGAGGCACAGTGTAGCCAGGCATCCCAAAATCATAGAATGGTTAGAGCTGGAAGGGACCTTCCAGTGCCCCCCCCTGCCCTGGGCAGGGACGCCTCCCACCAGACCAGGTTGCTCCAAGCCCCCTCCCACCTGGCCTTGAACCCCTCCAGGGATGGGGCAGCCACAGCTTCTCTGGGCAACCTGGGCCAGGCTCTCACCACCCTCACAGCAAAGTTCTTCCCAAAAATCTCAACTCAATCTCCCCTCTTTCAGTGTCAAACCCTTCTCCCTCCTCCTAGGGCTCCCCTCCCTCATCCAGAGTCCCTCCCCAGCTTTCCTGGAGCCCCTTGGGGAACTGCAAGGGGCTACAAGGTCTCCCTGGAGCCTTCTCTTCTCCAGGCTGAACCCCCCCAACTCTCTCAGCCCCCCCTCACAGAAGAGGGGCTCCAGCATCACCATCAACACTGAGCAAGAGCCTTGGCAGTGCTGTCCTTTGCTTTTCTGGTCAATACTGAGCAGAGGAATGGTTGCTTCTTATGGCTGTGAGAAATCTCCAAGGATTCCCTGGCAAATCCATTGAGGACCACCATATTGGGCTTCTGGCCACCATGCATGGAAAAGCCATGCGGGGTTTAAAAAGCAGAGAGTTTAAGAGGAAAGAAAGGACACTCCAGTGCTAAAGAAAAGTAAACTGGTCAACCACAGCCAGCCCAGGACAAGATGACAGGGTAAGAAGCACCCAACCATAACTCCCATGGGGTCAGACCTGCCTGGTCAAGCCAAGGCTTCCCAGCATTTGTGTGGATCACTCATCCCAGAGCCACGAAAGCCCACGGCTGATGACCCCAAAACATTTCTGAGAGCCACCATTTAAAGACTTGGCAATGTTACTACTTACTTTCACTGTCTCCCTCTTTTCGGGTATGACAGCGGTTTTGTAATCCCGGTGCTGCGGCAGCTTCTCTATGAAGAGCCTGTAAAAACAGGAGAGAAAACGCATTTCTGAATCACAGCAGAAAGGGACAAGCACAAGACAGTGAGTGGCATTTTGGGGGTACTGATCATTCCCCTCCAGCACTGTCCCCTGGCTCTGCCACATCCCTGGGCACTGTGCTCCCCACAATCAGGACATTAATCTGCATTTTTCATGAAACAGTCCCTCATACAACGGCCTTCTGAACCCTTCATGGCACACGGGAGATCTCTCTCAGTCCCAGGAGAGCACCTCGCACAGATTTTTCTTCCACCTGGACTTTGGAGATGATCCTCAGGGATAAATACATTGGTTTTGAACAGAAACATTAATAAACCAGACTAAAACTGCAAGGACACTGGCAGCCATTCAGGAGGGTCCTTGGGCACCTGCCTCCACCTCTGCGAGCATCCAAGGGGATTACACAAAGCTCAAGGACTCGGCTGACTCAGTGCTCAGACCGTCCTTCTGCACGAGGGAACACACGGTTTGTGCAAGAGATGGGGAAATTAACTCCGACCTTGAAAAGGGAAAACTTGCAGGTAAGCGAAAAGCAAGTTCACAACTTCCCCAGCTGCTGCTTCAGAAGCCCTTTGACTCTGTGGCCCGATCACCTCAGGAGATCAGGGCAATATTTCAGGCAGCAGGGCTGTTTCTGGGCACACTTCTGGGAAGGAGATCAAAACTCAGCTCAACATCCCCCTGCTCCCAGGAGGACTACAAACAGGTTAATCTTCAGAGAATCACAGCATGATATGAGGTTGGAAGGGACCTCTGGAGATCATCTAGTCCAACCCCCTGCCAGAGCAGGTCCACCTAGAGCAGGTTGCACAGGAATGTGTCCAGGCAGGGTTTGAGTGTCTCCAGAGAAGGAGACTCCACCACCTCTTTGGTGGAAAGTTCATAGAATCATAGAATGGTTTGGGTTGGAAGGGACCTCAAAGATCATCGAGTTCCAACCCCCCTGCCATGGGCAGGGACACCTCCCACCAGAGCAGGTTGCTCAAGGCCCCATCCAGCCTGGCCTTGAACACTTCCAGGGATGGGGCATCCACAACTTCCCTGGGCAACCTGTTCCAGGGTCTCACCACCCTCACAGTAAAAAATTTCTTCCTGAGATCTAATCTGAATCTTTTTTCTTCCAATTTAAAACCGTTTCCCCTTGTCCTATCATTACACCTCCTGGCAAAGAGTCCCTCCCCAGCTCTTCTATAGGCCCCTTCAGGTATTGAAAGGCCACTATAAGGTCTCCCTGGAGCCTTCTCTTCTCCAGGCTGAACAACCCCAGCTCCCTCAGCCTGTCTCCATAGGAGAGGTGCTCCATCCCTCTGAACATCTTTGTGGCCCTCCGCTGGACCTGTTCTAGCAGATCCATGTCCTTTCTGTGTTGAGGACTCCAAAGCTGGACACAGTGCTCCAGTGGTGCTTTTCTACAGGCAGAATAAGCTTCCAGGGGGGCTCTGCAGGATGCAGTGGTGAAGATGCAGAGAAAGAGGACTGCAAGCACTAGAAGAAGGAAAAAAGCCTGCAAACATGGGGCAATTCACTCTGGGTGGGCTCATGGTGAGCTTAGCTGGCTCCTTATCTCCTGCAAGTGGGGCTGTGTTTGTTGTGAGCACCCACAAAACCTGTGGGCATAATGCAAAAAGACCTGCCCTCCCTTGTGGCTCTCTGCTACACCGCTTCAGCATCCAAAGGAGGATGCTCTCCAGCTCCTTTAGAGAGCAGCCTCGTGCCCAGGCACAAGGAAGAAGTGTTAGTGAGGACCAGAGTGTGCCCCAGGGGAGCAGCACAAACAAACCAAGCAGGAAAAACTCAGGGGGGGACAGAGTGAGAACGCTCTTCACATTGAGAATCCTCTGTGCGCGCGCAGTAAATAAACCCAGCTGCTTCGAAACCTCAGTCCTCTGGGAAGAGGAAGGAGTTTTTGCACCCCGAAGGCTCCCGGTTGCCAGGGAGAGCAGGAGGATGCTCTCACCAGATGAGCACAACCACGTCAGAGCCCAGTGCCACCGAGAAGCCCTCGCTCCATCCCAAACACCCAGCAAGGTCCCTGCTCCCAGCTGGCGGTTGCGAAGTAGGTCACTGTGTCGAGGAGACAAAACAAGGCTGTGATCATTGCCAACAGCTAGCAGATTAAAATGGAAGGGATTAATTAAGAAGGATTAAGAGCAGATGCTGGCCTGGAGAGGATGGAAAAACCAGCAGAGACAGCTGGGTTTCCACAAGTCAGGAAGGGGGGAAAAAAAGTGGGCAGCGGGATGAGAGGAAGACTCAGGCAGCCAGAAGAAAACTCTGGGACAAGACCAGGCGGCAGCAGCTGGGGACGGAGGCAGGGGAAGGGTAGGAAGGGTTCATGTTTCCTATCGACAGCCCAACTGAGGTTTGGCAGGACTAAAACACCACGACTTTTGGGCTGGTTCAAACCTCTGCCTGCTCCTGAGTCCACTCTGAGCAGCAGCTGTTTGGCACTCAGCAGCCACATCACAGGCTATTTTTACGCGGCACGCACGCCAAGCCGGCGTCTCTCGAGTCCCTTGCAACACCCCACGCAAAACCCCGGAGCCAATCCTAACAGCTCCCAGCCACGCAGGGAAACCAGGAGCCCAAACACCACAGAAAACTTTTTATTCCATCCCCCCCCCGCCTTCTTATTTGGCTCTCACAAAAATCAAACCGAGCGTGCGTGGTGGTGATTCAAGGAAAACGTCCACTCAGATCAACGCAGAAGAAGCTGTTCAAGAAGGCAAGTGAGCAGATGTTTTACGAGGTGACAAGATGCACATGTTAGAAGTCCAGCCTGGTTATTCTTAGAGATAGCTGTGCCACCCTCAGAATCACAGAATCACAGAATCTTAGTGGTTGGAAGGGACCTCCGAGATCATCGAGTCCAACCACAAAAAAACCCAAACAAACCAACAAAAAAACCCAAAAAAACCCCACAACACACCACACCAAACGCCTACCAAAAACCCCGCACCCACCAACTAAACCCCACACTCAACACCTCACCATAAACCAATAACCTTGGGCACTAGAGCAGGCCCTGAAGAGCCATGTCTACACGTTTCTTAAATCCCTCCAGGGATGGTGACTCCACCACCTCCCTGGGCAGGCTGTTCCAGGGCCTGACCACTCTCTCAGTAAAGTAGTTCTTTCTAATATCTAATCTAAATCTCCTGCCCCCCCATGAGCTTTGTTTCCACGTGGAAGAGAGAGGTGCTGTGCAGCCAAGGGACCTGCACGGGACGGAGCAGCAGCCGGGAGCCAAGCAGGGAACTGGCTGCCTCAATGAGAACCTCTGTCTTGAGATTATCCCATGTCTAGACAAGATTGTCCCAAACCCGATGGACTCTCCAAATCAGGCGCCACGACACAGCTCTCGTGGTGTAATTCAGGCCTTGAGACCAGCCTTAAAGGGAAATAAAGAGAAAACCAGCTTCCTAAAGCCACAGAGAGCACACTTCGCTCACTCTGATCAAACACACCAAGCCAAGAGCCTCTCACTTCTCCTCGGGGCTGGAGTCCTCCCCTTCCCAAAGCCATAGCACGACGCAGAAGGTGCCCACACTAGGTCACACACGCTGGCGTTGTGCTAAAGGACAGCCAAGGCACAGGTGTGGGCTGAAAGCACCAGGGGAAGAATTCCACTCCCATTTCTAGAGAAGGGAGAGCAGAGTAAATCCCATGAGAGGCTCCCATTACCAGTGATCTTGCCTTCTGGATCACGCCCTTGGGGAAGGACATCCACTCCATCAAACCTACCGCTGGAGCTACAGCTTCACATCTGCATTACAGCTTCACATCTGCATTTAATCTCACACTCACATTTATTTAAGTTCCTATCTTCGCACAATCCAGAGCAGAAGCTCATATTCATCAGCACTGGAGAAACCACACCACCGAGGGAAGGTTTTTTCACCTTCCTGGCAGCCCAGCAGCCAGGGTAACGTAAATGCCACAAGCATCTGAAAGCTGCTGGAGAGAACAGACGCCAGCACTTATCGTTGCTATAATGAAACAGCGAAGGTGCTTTTAATTCCTTTGTTTAGTTAAAGAGTTGCTCCTTCGGCCTTGGCTACGTAACCAGCCTGGAAACCTTCCCGAGGGTTTTACACTTCCCAGCTCCCAGGACACTCTCTACAATGCCCATAAAAGCTCAGGAAGTGCAAGGCGGGAAGAAAAGCTAATCAGAGAAAAATGCGTTGATTTAAGGGGCAGGAACCTTGCACATGGGGGCAGGGAGAGAAAATGCCCACGGAGATGCCAACCCCATTCTGGACAAGCAAGTAGCACGGGCACAGCAGAGACAACATCAGAGTGGCACTGGGCAAAAGCAAGAGGGACAGGCTTTTGGCCAAAAAACGTACAGGAACAGAACACCCTGTGCCATTGGGGTATTTTGTGAGGATCAGAGTTTTCAGCCCTTTAAACACCAGCAGGCACAGCTACAGAGAGACATATGTTTGCTCTGCTCGTACTCCGGGCTGCTCAGACACGATCCAGACCTGAGAGCACGTCACCGCGTTAGCACGGCGTACGCTCCGGCTTGGCACGCGCGGCCGTGGGCTTTCAGACCCAAGATGGCTCGTTTCTGGGCAGCTGCGGAGATGACGGCAAGAATACGTGGCTCTGCTTTTATCTGCACAGAATGGAGACCCTCCAGGTGGAGACCCGGCAGCTGAAAAGACCAAACAGGGTGTTGGTGTGTTTATACAGCATCTGGAGCTTTCTAGAAGGATTCTCAGTACCCAAGAATCATAGAATGGTCTAGGTTGGAAGAGACCCTTGGGATCATCGAGTCCAACCATCTCCCCTACTCTACAAAGTCCTCCCCTACACCATGTCCCTCAGCACTGCATCTAAACGGCCCTTAAACACAGCCAGGGATGGGGACTCCACCCCCTCCCTGGGCAGCCTGTTCCAATGCCCGACCACTCTTTCGGTGAAAAATTCTTTCCTAATGTTCAATCTAAACCTCCCCTGTTGGAGCTTGAAGCCGTTCCCTCTCGTTCTGTCACTAATTACCTGTGAGAAGAGACCAGCACCAACCTCTCTACAGTGTCCTTTCACGTAGTTGTAGAGAGTGATGAGGTCTCCCCTCAGCCTCCTCTTCCTCACACTAAACAGCCCCAACTCCCTCAGTCGCTCCTCATACGATTTGTTTTCCAGCCCCCTCACCAGCTTCGTTGCCCTCCTCTGCACCCGCTCCAGCACCTCCAGATCTCTCTTGGATTGAGGTGCCCAAAACTGGACACAACACTCCAGGTGTGGCCTCACCAGTGCTGAGTACAGGGGCACAATCACCTCCCTGCTTCTGCTGGTCACACTATTTTTGATACAAGCCAGGATGCCATTGGCTTTCTTGCCCCCCTGGGCACACGCCGGCTCATATTCAGCCGTTTGTCAACTAGAACCCCCAGGTCTCTTTCTTCCAGGCAGCTCCAGCCACACTTCCCCCAGCCTGTGGTGCTGCAGGGGGTTGTTGTGGCCCAAGGACCTTGCAGAAACTCACCAGTTGGCTGAGATCAGGCTCTTTGGACCCAGAACTCTTCCCCATGTCCCTCCTGAGAAGGACTAAGGTATACCCATGCTTTTTTTGGAGGGGTGAGGTGTTCATATTCTTTCCAAGACATAAAACTAAATCTACCAGTGGTCCCTGCACCTGAAGGAAGAACTTGGTGCCTGCTATAAAAGGCTGCAGTAACTTGAGCAGGCTTCTCCTCTGAACACAGCTTGTCAGAGAAACCACCCACCAGCCTAGATCCCTTCCAGGTAGATACCTGATACCAAGATCCCTGCCAATCCACACGATGTCACAGCCAACCTAGCGACAATGGAGGCCAATCTAGCCACTCTGGGGTGACAGAACACCAGGAAGCTTTGACACACAGGGAGCTAAAACCTCCCTCCTGCTGACAGAAGCCTCCACCAGCAGAGGGACAAGGAACCCAAGATCCGCCTGGTTTCAAAGGGAACTGCTACAAAACACTGCCTGAAGCTGGCCATGAGCAGGCAGTGGGCACTTGCAGCCCAGAAGGCCAATCCCATCCTGGGCTGCATCAAAAGCTGCGTTGCCAGCAGGTCCAGAGAGGGGATTCTGCCACTTTACTCTGCTCTGGTGAGACCTCACCTGGAGTATTGTGTGCAGGTCTGGAGCCCTCAATATAAGAAGGACATGGACCTGATGGAGAGGGTCCAGAGGAGGGCCACGAGGATGATCAGGGGGTTGGAGCACCTCTGCTACGAGGACAGGCTGAGGGAGCTGGGGTTGTTCAGCCTGGAGAAGAGGAGGCTCCGGGGAGACCTAACAGCAGCCTTCCAGTACCTGAGGGGGGGCTACAGGAAGGCTGGGGAGAGCCTGTTTAGAAAGGCCTGTAGTGACAGGACGAGGGGCAATGGCTTCAAGCTGGAGGGGAGCAGATTTAGACTGGAGATGAGGAGAGGGTTCTTCACTGGGAGGGTGGTGGAGCACTGGAACAGGTTGCCCAGGGAGGTGGTTGAGGCCCCTTCCCTGGAGATATTCAAGGAGAGGCTCGATGGGGCAACCTGGTCTAGTTGGGGGTGTCCCTGCTGACTGCGGGGGGTGGGACTAGATGGCCTTTGGAGGTCCCTTCTGGTCTGGGCAATTCTATGATTAAAACCTTCTACAACTGGGCGAGTGGAATTTGTGGGTTTTACCTCCAACATTTAAGACATCTCCTGGTCAGTCAAACCAGCTGCACCCTCACCTCTGTGGGAACTGAAACTCCAAAGCAGCAGAGTTCTGGACAGAACCCAGTTCTTCCAGCTCAGCAAGTTCTCCCGGTGTTCAGCCACGCTCAAAATACTCGACACCCAAACCCACAACCCCTTGTGTGGACCCGGGTTAATTGCAAACGAAGCGAGGCTGCTCTTACGTGATGTATTTGTTGTACAAAATGAAGGCCCGCTCGATGTTGCCTTCCTCTGAGTAGACGGTCGCCATGCGGAGGATTTCCACCCCGGAGCGGTAGTAGCGTCGCGGTGGGACATCCTCGTTTACTTCCACAGCACTTCCCACCTGGATCAGTTTTCGGACTCGCTCCTCCGGGGCGAGGCTGACGTCGGCGTGGTCGGGCATAACGACACACATCAAAGCTGCTGCGGGGCTGAGGAACCCTGGGGTGGGAGGAAAGGCAATCTGCATCACAAACCAGCGTAAATTTCACTGCATTTCACTGAATTTTAGAGTTGGAAGGGACCATAGAGATCATCTAGTCCAACTCCCCTGCTGAAGCAGGACCACCCAGAGCTTGTCAGAGCATGTTACTCAGGAGCATCCAGGTGGGGCTTGAAAATCTCCAGAGAAGGGGATTCCACACCCTCCCTGGGCAGCCTGTTCCAGGGCTCTGCCACCCTCACTGTGAAGAAGTTTCTCCTCATATTTGAGTGGAACCTCTTCTGTTCCAACTTGTGCCCGTTGCCCCTCGTCCTCTCACTGGCAACCACTGAAAAGAGTCTGGTTCCCTCCTCCTTCAACCCTCCCTTGAGATACTTGCCAGCATTGAGAAGGTCTCCCCTCAGCCTTCTCTTCTCCAGACTGAAGAGTCCCAGCTCTCTCAGTCTCTCCTCATCAGGGAGATGCTCCAATCCTTGAATCATCTTGCGGAGGTTGAACCCAGACCATGTGTGTTACTCAGGAGCATCCAGGTGGGGCTTGAAAATCTCCAGAGAAGGGGATTCCACACCCTCCCTGGGCAGCCTGTTCCAGGGCTCTGCCACCCTCACTGTGAAGAAGTTTCTCCTCATATTTGAGTGGAACCTCTTCTGTTCCAACTTGTGCCCGTTGCCCCTCGTCCTCTCACTGGCAACTACTGAAAAGAGTCTGGTTCCCTCCTCCCTCAGCCCGCCCTTGAGACACTTGTCAGCATTGATAAGGTCTCCCCTCAGCCTTCTCTTCTCCAGCCTAAAGAGTCCCAGCTCTCTCAGTCTCTCCTCATAAGGGAGATGCTCCAATCCTTGAATCATCTTTGTAGCCCTACACTGGACTCTTTCCAGCAGTTCCCTGTCCCTCTTGAACTGGGGAGCCCAGAACTGGACGCAGGATTCCAGTTGTGGCCTCCCCAGTGCAGAGCAGAGGGGGAGAATGACCTCCCTTGACCTGCTGGCCACACTCTGCCCTATGCAACCCAAGATACCATTGGCCTTCCTGGCCATAAGAGCACACTGTTTATTCATTGTCATTTTACTGTCCACCAGGACCCCCAGATCCTTTTCTTCAGAGCTCGTCTCCGGCAGGTCCACCCCTAACCTGTACTGATACCTGACATTTTTCTTCCCCAGGTGCAGGACCCTACACTTTTCCCTGTTGAACCTCATGAGGTTCTTCCTTGCCCAGCCCTCCAGCCTGTCCATGTCTCACTGGATGACAGTAAAACTCATCCCATTTCCTCAGGACTGCCTTTCCTCGATAGAAATCACCCCCTGGCTCAGCAGAAAAACGTTTAATGCACAGGCCAAGCTAGGTCTTGAGGGAGGAATCTGGGAGAAGCCTGGGTTTCTTGGGGCACATTGCTTAGATATTTACCTTTAGGACCTGAAAGGCAGCCACAAATTCAAGAGGGGTCCTTGGCAATTGATGTCAGGCGAGGGTTTGACCCATCCAAATCCTCCCCTTTCCTTTCCCAATCGTCTCTCCACACAACAAAATTATTGCTGGGCACTAGTCTGGGGGAAAATGGCCAAAGAGTTTCATTCAGACTCGAGCAGAAAGGGCTTTGTTCAGGGTTTCAACACTGCAGCGTTCAGCATTTCGCTTACACAGCAGTGACAAGAGGAAGGAGCTGAAGGCCGTCCTTCCAGCCACTGCTGCTCAGCAAATCTGTCCTTACCCAACAAGCCCAATCCCAAATTGCTCTTGCCTGGGCACAGAGGCAATCCCTCTCTCCCCCACGCTGCGGGAGGCACACCCGGCACCCCAGGAATGCACCTCGACCTGATCCATGCCTCTGCCTCCCACCTGGCTCCGGCAAATCCCTTCTCTGATAAATTTGAAGCTGGGGAAAGCACTGAGACTGTCTGAGGGGCAGCAAGCCCAGAAACCTTCCACAGTGCTCTTCCCCCTAGCACCAAAGGCAGTTTTCCTTTGGAAAGACCAGTGTAAGCTTAAACTCTGAATCCAGAACACCTCACAAGCCCTCCAGCAACGTGACTGCCACACACACGACGTCATGATTTACAACAGCTCCTTCTGCTCTGCTCTGGTGAGACCTCACCTGGAGTATTGGGTGCAGGGCTGGAGCCCTCAATATAAGAAGGACATGGACCTGATGGAGAGGGTCCAGAGGAGGGCCACGAGGATGATCAGGGGGATGGAGCACCTCTGCTACGAGGACAGGCTGAGGGAGCTGGGGTTGTTCAGCCTGGAGAAGAGGAGGCTCCAGGGAGACCTAATAGCAGCCTTCCAGTACCTGAAGGGAGCTACAGGAAGGCTGGGGAGAGCCTGTTTAGAAAGGGCTGCAGTGACAGGACGAGGGGCAATGGCTTCAAGCTGGAGGGGAACAGATTTAGACTGGAGATGAGGAGAGGGTTCTTCACTGGGAGGGTGGTGGAGCACTGGGACAGGTTGCCCAGGGAGGTGGTTGAGGCCCCTTCCCTGGAGATATTCAAGGAGAGGCTCGATGAGGCCCTGGGCAACCTGGTCTAGTTGGGGGTGTCCCTGCTGACTGCGGGGGGTGGGACTAGATGGCCTTTGGAGGTCCCTTCTGGCCTGGGAAATTCTATGATTCTATAATTCTTCCTTGACGAGGGAATGGTGCCGAGCTGAGCTCAGCACTGCCTGAGGATCCCAGGTGGTGGAGTTGTTGCCTTTCTGGGGTTACTTTGGAGCAGAAGCCCCTTTTTAAGGCAGAAAGGCCTGCGTTTCTCAGCCCACATCCTGGAGGGGCCTCCAGAGGCTTCTTGCCCTAAATAAAGGCTGTAGGATTCTGTCCTGCCCAAGGCTGCCGAACCAAAGCGCTCACTCACGGGGTACGACAGAGCCCAGCTCAGAGGGGGCTTCACCTCCTCCTCCTCACTGCTGCTTCTACTGGTGGGGGGAGCCCTCAGTTTTTCCCCCCCAAACCAGAGCTCTCAGTCCCCTCCCCAAACTGAACCCCTCCTGCCAAATTCTACGGTCCTTCTCCCCCAAGAGAGAACAGACATCGCTCACTGCAACTCCCAACACAGAGCTCCCTCTCGAATTCCTACAGATAAAGAAACTGCCCAAACCAGCCCCCCCTCGAGCTGCTAGCCCCCAAAGTGCTGACCCCCCCTCGAGCTGCTAGCCCC